ACAGGAGAAAATATAAAATAAGTGTTCGAGCCCTTCACAAAATTGTATAATTAACTGCTGCCATGACCCCACATATCAACTGACGATTGGGTTACCTGAAACATCGAAACAAAAAATATCTGTCGAAATAAAATTAGGTACAGAATCAAATTAATGAATGCGTTCCTAACCTAATCGCGGCGTTTTTTTTTCAGTTTCCGTCCGCGGCTTAAATAGCGCGAATGAATGAAAAGCGGAGTGGCGTAAAGGAATGTTTTAACTATGTCTATTGTCTTCGCGAGAACTGCCCGCGGATTTTACTTTCTCACAGTCCCACGTGATGAGACACATACACACACGCGTCGCAATTTAAAGTGCGCCGCTGCTCGATATTTAAATGAGTAACTACTTCATTACTTACAGTCGGTCACGAAATTGTTCGTGTAATTAGTTAATATTAGTGAGGTAATTTATACTTCTTAACTAGATTAGCGTCGAGTTGGGTTATTATTCCTGCATTTAGTGGGCATTGTTTTGGGGCTAATTACCTTATTTTGTAACTGTTGAAATCTAGCATTACTTTATCGTCATATAAAAAAAAACAGAATCCTAAACAATAAGATTTTTTTTAACAAAATTTAAATTTGCGTATAAAAACTAATTTTAAACATTTAAAAATTATTTACACAACCCAAAAACCGCAGCAACTGATATTTAGTAGTGACCATATGTGGATTTTGTAAGGTGTTAATTTTTTTAACTTCAAAATTGCGAAGCGAAAAAAAAATTGAGTTTTTCATATTCCTGCCATTACTCGCTTGACAGACCACCATGACCGCGCACGCCTCGATATTATTGTTTTACTTTATGACTTCATTGGCACTTGCGGGAAGCCTTAAAATTTGAGCGCGAGTGCTATTAAAAACCGATCGGAAACTTTAGTGCACAACGCAGCGCATTATTGGAAGCAGATGAATTTGAGACAGCACGCCGCGATTTCGAGTGCTCTTAATCTGTCACTTGACGGCGTGGACTTCATTAAAAGTATTTCTCTTTAATCTGATTTCAAGCAGACTGCTTACGACGGATTACGCTTTTACCCAAGACGTCATGCTTTTTTTTATCGTATTACTATGCGTTTAAAGAAGACTTAACTTTGGTTTCGAATTTGAAACAAATCTGCAACTGAAATAATATTTCTTATTAAATTTAAGTAATAATTTGGCATTCATCATCAAGAAATAAACTGTAATTGAATAAAAATCGGTAATATCACCTCCCCAGGTAAATTTTACTTTACTGGAAGCATTCGACCTTGTCACTTACAGACTTTATGTCTCTCAGTGCTTGCTTTTGACGAAGGTTCTCGAAACGGTTGACAGTTCTTAATGCACGATTACGTTCTCTCCCATCGAACTAATTCGGGCATCGCCTGACCCGCACTTAGTCTGTGAATATTTCTCCTTCTGCACGGCAATAATCCGATAAATTCGACACGATTGTCAAAAAGTTGACATAAATATGCATAAGTAGTACTGAACTTAAAATCGAATCTAGTTCACGAAAATAATTTCCGTTACAACGTCAGTCATCCTTAAATTTTCTCAATTTTGGTTTTGCTTTTGCTTACTAGTCATCGCATTGTGCGTAGGTCGTTCAGTCTACAATATTCGGATATGAAGACGGGCACTGAGACTTCGTGCGCGCCGCGCTGTCGAGAATGTGTTAAACCTTTATTATTATGCGTACCTACTTCTTCAGTCGGCGGCGCATTCTGAGAAGCTCACCAGCGAGCTGAAGAACTCATGAAAACTCAAGACGCTTGCGTGCTTTCAAATGTTTAACAGATCCGTACTAAAAAATATAAATAAACAATTCTTTATTATTTTCACAAATCAAACACACAATAAAATCAATATTTTTGAGTTAAAAAATTTTAAAAAATTATTTTTAAATTTTTCCACATCAAATTAAACGCGAATGAAAATTTCTTGTATTCTCCGCAGTCCTCCGCTGAAGAATCGACCGCATGCTGTGGGCTATACACGTTCGCTTACCTTTCTACCTGTGCCCCGTACCTGTTTCATTCTTCGCTTGCGCGTTTCTTTTTTCGAAGCTTGCCATCGCCTCGGCCTTAACACCACGCACCGTCGCGTATTAATGTGTTTGCCTTGTTACTTTTATCATTCGTATCGAATATTATACTCATATCATCGTGTTCTTTCTCTCAATTAAAGCCATCCGCGCACACACTCGTGTCGAACACACGTTATTTATAATATTAATAGACGCCGGCATTTAGTTATTGATAATAATTATACGCACGGCGTAAAAAGTCAACTTTTCACCGTTGTGAAGTACGCGCGCACGGGGAAAATAGTATTATACGCGTTGTGAGCTTTTCTCTGTGGTGCATCGTGATTAATGCGGCCAGCGCGACGATCCATCACCATCTGCTTAAAAAAGCTTTATTAATTTTTAACGGAGCATTGAAGTATTGACAAATGATGTGTTCTCAAATTATTACACAATTATAATTTTAACGTCACGTTTGCGGCTTCCAGTTTATCTCGAATCTTTTCATCGTCGGGCGCAAAATATAAAGGAGAGAGTTTTATGCGAATTTTTAAATCTTGATTAATAAATTACATTTCAGATTATTTTCAGCCGTCTGGTTATAATTAGAATAGCGTTGTGACTATTTTCTTTCTTATTAGATTTTTTTTTAATTTTGAAAGATAATTTGAACAAAAATTGAATTTTAAAAATTAAATCCAAGATGTTTCCGTAGTTATAAATGAATTTTTGTACGGTGCCCTGAACACGAGTCACTTGTACCGCTACCCTTGTACGGTGCCCTGAACATGAGTCACTTCTACCGCTACCCTCGTACGGTGTCCTGAATCGAGTCAGGACGAGCGGTAGGCACCGCTACCCTTGTACGGTGCCCTGAATGGAAGTGGGAGTCACTTCTACCGCTACCTTACCTCAATTTTCGCAATAACAAATTAGAATTAGATAGATAAATCGAATTTTAATATTGCATTATTTTTAATAATTTAAATTGCGGGATTACTATCTGCACCATTCATAGATGGCACAAATATGAACTAAAAATATTAAAACGGATTTGTATTGTTTATTTCTATATTTATCAGCAAACGTGGGCATTCAACATAAGAATTGTGTTTGTTTTGAACGCAACTAACACTTTCTTATCACATTCACCGCGTGGAATGCAACGCATGAGATCCCCTCACGCCGCATGTTGGTGCATCTTAGTTTAGTTTTGATCGCAGGTAACGTACCAAAGCGATTCGCGCTCAAGGTTGCGTGATATCGAAGCAGGTTTTGCGCAGGTTTTGCGCATCTATTGCTTTCTTATCATAAACTGTCGCGTTGTTGCTTGCACAGTTTGCAGCCAGTTTTGTGCCGGTTTTTGGTTGATCCATACGTATTTTACGCGACTCGTATTGTTTGTCCGGACATCTTCTTTCCAATTCGCATTATATTCGATCGTCAAGTGTATCGCCGCCATGTTGATTTCATATTCATCATTAGGATGACCCACCGTGCTGGTGTAAGTAACTTTTATCTAATCCAGAGCAAATAGATAAAAACGCTCTCAGTGAAAATTAATTTATAAGTTAAAAATGTTGCACAACATTATTACCACAACCCAAGTATTCAAGTTTCCGTAGACGAAATCAATTTATAATTATTACAATTTATATTTCGAGATTTAAACTATTTAGAATCGAAATTATCGATCTTAACGAATGAACGCTGCGGCGTTACGAAATAAAATTCAGGTTTAGTTGTGCGCGCAGCACATAAGTATACATCGCAATGACAAACGGAAAGGTTAATCATAATTTACCATTTGAGCGTGATCGATGCAACAATGCAACATGAATCCTTAATATCCAACTCCGTAAGCCCCTCCGAGACGCCGAAGACGAAGTAAAGCGTGCTCCGGGGCAAGATATCGATAATGAATCCCGATGCTCGATCATGACGATCATCATGATGGTGCGCAAGATGAAAGATGAAACAAAGCTTGCCAGCGCGAGTAACGAGCCGACGGGACGCTGCGCGCGCATGCCGAACAAAGAGCAAATATAAATGGATTGATATAAACAAACATGCGCAACGTGCGCAACATTCGACAGAATTAATCATCAATCGTGCGGATGCCCGCCGCGATTCACCGGTTTTCAGGAACACGGCGCATGCGACGCGAAATGAAACAAGAACAAGACGCGCGCGCGTTCCACCAGCTCAAGAAGGTGGAGGACGACGCTGTGGAGCTGCGTTTACGCGCATCGGAGATAAATGAAGTTCATTTTTTCTGCTCGTGCGTGAGCAATGCGAGCATTTCGGCCGATTTGGCACGCCCGAGAGGATTACAAATTATGAAACGATTTATTACACTTCATTTGAATATTCAAATGGCATTGCGAAGGTTTTGTTTGTTTTTCTTCGTGTTCGGTGGGAAGGATACACTTGAATTGGCTGTCAAATGTCAAAATATTTCAATACTTACAACATAACCAAACATTTCACAAAGCAAATGCAAAATTTTTTCAAAAAAACATGTTTTTTTAAGCATTTAAACATAAATTTTAATAAATATAAACAAATTATCGTTGTTAGATGTAAGTTTTATAGTTAGATAATTTCCTGAAGGCAAAACTCTTTTAATTCTGTTTTTTTCTTCTCTTGTTGCTTGTATTAATTCTCTAGCGTTATCACATCACGTGCTGTGGCTCAGCACATAGCATAAATTCATATTCGTAATTAGTGCACGCGTGGGATTCGTCCAACGCTTGCGGTCACCAAACGTTTGTGAAGAAAACTCGCCGAAAATATGAAGCGCTTCGGGCGGCCGACAAATATTCAATATAAAAACATTTTGTTCCTTATGCATGCGTATACGCAATGAAAATTAACCATGTTTTTTTTTTATTTCGACTTGTTCTGCGTGTCTCATCACACGATTTTTCTGTTTTCTGTTTCAGGTGAGCGGAGATTAATTCTAATTGCGTGCATCATCCTCGGTGGCGAACTCGTATGTATCTTTAGTTTATAATATTCGTCCACACAGCCGGACGAAAAGGATGCAATTAAAGAGGAGAAATTATTTATCACGCGCACGCGTAATTCACTGCGATACCTACCTACATTCAATATGCATAACTATCAAACAGCATGAATATGAATTCGTATTTTTACGATGATTAAACGTAAATGATTTGCATTTATACAGAAAATTAACGTCCAAGTCAACAGATCAAAACTGTTTACGTGTATATTTTATGTGAGATTTGGGGCTTTGTTCCAAAAGAGGTATTTATGCAAAATATTTTCATAATTTGCTATGATTGCCTTCGAATCGGGTCCGGAAAACTAGAAGGAAGGTTGTGAATAAATTGTTAGTTTGCGGAATATTTTTCTAAGCTGGCGCCGGCGGTTTCTTGCAAAACAATCTACGAAACATCCAGTTATTTAAAATAAACTCTCAGCGCGCGGCAGCCACAGAAATCATAAAATGTTGATCGGGCATAAAAACTAGTTGGTTTTGTTTTATGCGTTTCAACGCGGCATTTCTGAATTAGCGTCGGACACGCAATATTTAAAGCCATAGATTTTAAATTTGAGTTCTTCACTCTTTAAGTTTTATTTTCTCCTCTGGTAAAATATATGTATATGCAAAAATTGACATTTTCTCCAACTAATTAGATTCGAATATAGTGTGTTAGAGGATGTGTAAATGTGAAAGCTAATTAAAAATTAATATGACACGGCGAATTTTTCATTAAAATTTTCTCCGCTTCGCTAAAAAGTTAATAATTAAATTCGTCGAGACGTTGAGGATGAAGATTCGAGGTGTGAGATTCGCCTCGCTGAATTAAGACTTAATTTGTGAAATCATAACAACAGCAATAAATTGCAGTGATAAAATGAAGCCTCGCTTCGTGGTATAAGGCAACACTTGGTGTTTATTTTTTAATTTATATTTTCGAGCCGTAAAGTCGAAAAAAATCCGCATCGTTGCTATTCATATTTCGTTCTACCTTCGAAGGATTTCGCCACGGTCCGCGCGCAACCCTCTAGCGCGTCGCCTATGAATAAATGTTGGGAATATTAGGCATCAAATTGCTTTTGGCCGGCGCGGTGCGGCCGTAAAACGCTTTCCCATGAGGAGAGCGCGCGCGTGCATTCTTTTGTTTCGCGTCGGTCCCGCGCGCTGACAAACAAATGCGATTCCAATTTGCGCTGCCGGCGGCTCCTCCAGCGTTACTCACGTTAATTTTATTGCGATCTGTGTTCGTACATGCATTTCCGTATTTGCAAGAAATTACTAATTTCGCGAACTTACTTTGTGTGTCGCGCTACCTGATTGTCGGCACAATCGAACCAGCAATTGACAATGGCGGCATGACGGCCATGTCGGCTGGTATGATATTAAGTCTCTATTAAGCCATGAAAGCGCTTATAATGACTTTCGAAAATTCGATTTCTGAGCGCCGTTTAAAGCGTTTTAAATCAACATGCTAATTTCAGCAATGTTCGAATTTTCAAACTAGATTTTTTGCGCAGAATTGCGCCTGCAATGTTGTTGTGTCGGGAATTTTTGTTGCCTGCACGCGCGTGTGTGTAGTAATGTATGCAAACGCACGCGAGCGTTCGAGTGGTGCGGCGTACTTCCAGTTAGAATAATAATCCCGCAGACGAACGCCGCGAAGGGCCTTGAGGGACGCCTTTTGTGAGGCGCGCGGACGACCGGTCCGCGAGAGATGTCTGGCGAAAACGTTTTTGCATAAACGATTAGGTGTGCGATGTTATATTGTCTAACATCAGGCACGCACGCCGTGTGCGCAAATACACGGAACTTTCTAGGAAACTTTTCAAAGACTAGAAAACGCAAAACAAAAAATAATTTAAAAAAGCGATAAGTTGTATTTTTCTGCATTAGTAACAAATATTTTTTATTTTTTATAGCATACTAGCTGTTGCCCGCGACTTCGTTCCGGCAGTGTTTAATAAAAATGTAATTTGTTTTTACTCTCTTGTTCTAGACATACTCGTAGTAAGAGTCAATTCTATCAATAAGATTAGCAATTTTAATTTAAAGAAATTAATTATATAAAGTTTTGTCAATAATGCACTTAGGCGCATAATCTCAGATTCAACTATTTAACTATAACTATGATTGAATCTCAATGTCAATTTTATTCTATAGAAAGAGCTGTTTTGAGTTTTCCCGGCAATTATTCGAATTTTTTCACACCTTTTTAAACCTTCCTAGACCTCCACGAATAATTCAAGACCAAGATAAGATAAATCCGTTCAGCCGTTCTCGAGTTTTAGCGAGACCAACAAACAGCAATTCATTTTTATATATATAGATGACATTTTCCAAAGCATAAAAAAATTATTTTTAATAAAATAAAATTTTTATGTGCAAAAACTTAGTTTTACTCTTTACAAGTATAAAAAATTAACAATTATTGCAGAAAATTTTTTACCATACGAAATGTAATGCTTTTATACTTTTCCAGTATCACTTTCTTATCTACTCTCAGTTTTGATCATGAATAATACCGCGTAACCGGCTAGTTGACTAATGCCATCTAAGAAATGCTTTCGAGGATGTGCACTGCTTTGGGTGGTCGTTCGTTTGATCCGCGATTTCAAATGCTTACCCGTTAGGTTATTGTGTTGAAAGAAAAAAAAACAAAAAATTTACTATTAGTATTAGTTAAAATCACATCTTGTCATACAGTGTGTCCATCATTATTTTATTCTGTTTGTTTACTTAGTTTTATTTAAAAAATGATAATTGATGGTCACAAGAAGAAAAAAATTTATACTGTATGTAAAAGACGGTCCTGTACGGACCCGTACACGAACGAAACCACTCTCATGCCACTTGTCACAAATAGATAAGTTAATGGAATCATTAATTACATGTTAATGCACGATGCTCACAATTAGGCAAGTTGCGATCGACTCGATTCTCGCCGCACGCACCGATTAAAACCCCAGTGTTTTAAATCACAAAGCAAGCCAACAAATTTTTTTACTTTTTATTTTTTGTTTTTATTTTCACATAGAATGTAAATATGGTACATTCTATTGCAAATTACAATTTATATCTTTTTCACCCAACCTTTAACAATATTGCGAATATTACCACATTAAAAGCAAACATAAATTAAATTAATCCGCTTTGCAGTAACAAGCAACAAGTCATATTTGCGTGATTGACAATTTACGATGCTGTGGGACAGCGCCGGGCGAAATTCGCCGCATAATTTTCCAATGCATTATAAATAAAATAACGATGGCGCGCAGGGAACAAAGTGTGGACGCTGCCTAGGCGCGGCTATTGTGAGAGCGCACAATAAATGACCTAGATTTGCATAATTTATACATAATTATTGCAGCGACCGCTGGCGCAAAATGTAAATATGAAAATCAGGAAAAATAAAACAACAACACGACGTAAATTATTATTTTATCAACGTAATATAATCGCGCATTGCGAATTAAAACACCGATGCAGAAGCATACGGAACACTCGTGTATTAATATTGAAATAATTGCAGGAATAAATAAGCACGCATATTTGTTGCGCGCCGCGTTCAATGTTAACCGCATATCGATGTTGGAAATAAGAACGCGTGGGCGCTCATCGCATGGGATCTTTTCTAATTCGAATCTAAACTCACACTGAGCTGAAATATAGAAAAGCAGGCGTGTGCAGAGAGTGCCTAGTGGTATAAAATGTGTCAGACCGGCGCCTATATTAGGTGATGTAACTGAAGTTGTAAGGCCGACCGCAACAGCTACAAGCGAAACCACTATATAATCGTTAAATGAATAAAACACATATGGGTATTATTTATTTCTTTATTTGCATCCACCAGATGTCTGAAAATATGCGCGGTTTATGGTGTGGTTGGAAATTTATGATTTTTTACATTATCCCTACTAATATTAGAAATGCGAATGTCTGATGTTTGTTACACACTTTCACATAAAAACTATTTAACCGATCATCATAAAAATTTATTTTTTATATTCTTGAAATTGGTCCCCGAATGGTTTATAAGGCTGCACTTTTTATTTAATAAAAATTATTTTTTTAAATAAAATAAAAGAAATTGTTTAGCCAATAATAACACCTCTGCATCTGGCTATTTGACTACTTTAACGCCATCTAACATTCCAGCAATGAGCTCAGAGCCCTAAGTACTATAGTACCATCACTGTATTATCACACTGTATTACCGACAGCTACGTCAACATCAAATCCAATTGACTACACTATGGAGACTGTACACTATACTTCCATAGACTATACTTTCAGCCATTTTAAACTTCCCGCCATTCTACTTCATTGTTACTTCTTCTGTGACTACAGACGCGTATGGAAGCAACTTCATTATTTTAGATATTCGCAAGCGAAGCCAAGGGTTAAAGCTAGTTTTCTATAATTTGTTTGTTTTTATTTAATTTTTGCGTTCTTTTTAGTCACCCCGTGACTAAAACCCGTGACTAAAGTACTAAATACCTTAATCAATGTTTTGGATATTTAATTCCTGGTTAATGAACTTTGAGAACTCGTTTGTTGAAGTTTAAAAAAAAATTTAATTATTTAATTACAAATTCTCGCAATTCAACGCAAACACATGTAGCGTTCGGTTGTCAGCAAATTTAAACAATAAATTAATTCGTCGCTACTACAACATAATATTCAAATTCAAACTCCGAATACGAAATTAATCGCCGCACCAAAATCGAAGCAATAAACCGCGATTTTTGAGTCAATAATTAGCCATAAAACTATAAACATCTCCAGCGTCGAATGTCGCCAACTCAAATCGAATCGCATCTATTGCTAATGCCTAGAGATACCTGCCTTCATCAAAATGTTATGGTTTTAACTTTCAACGCGGTTCCGGAGCAACGAAAATATGTAAATGCTTCGGCTAAACGATGCAGTAAAAATGGGTATTAAATATATAAATGCGATTAAATTCCATTAACATCGTAAATGTC